GGCGGGGGGGGGGGGGGGGGGGGGGGGGGGGGGTCGAGCGGAGGCTGGGGGCGGGACACTAAGGCCAACCCAGTAGGGGGCTGCGACCCGCCGACCCGCCTGTTCTCTGTCCAGGGCTAGGGCCTCTGTCCCTCCCGGTGCCCAGCCACCTCGCGCCTCCAAGTCCCTGTCTGCGCCACAGATCCTGGAGGGAGGTGGGGCGGAGGAGGGACGCTGGGCATTGCCACTGCTGAATCGGACTCACCAGGTTTTTCCGAAGTGTCCCCGCTAGACCTACAGGGAATCGGGCTGAGGGGCTTCCGACGCTCCAGTTACTGGAACGAACACGGGCCAGCCACCTGGGGCGATTATCCGAGGGAGGAGGGCTGGAGAAACCGAGGCTTCTCTTCTAGGTGGACCACAGAAGTCTGTCTTGTGCCTCCAAATTCTGCCTTCTTGGGTCCAACGCCCACTTGTCCCTACCCTCAGATAGCCTCACCAGCCAGGAAAACCCTCAGGTCTCCGAAGACAGTCTGCTCCTGTTTCTCATGCCCTGGGCAGAGCCTAGCCCCAGGAAATGACTCCTGGTGCCACTGGAAGGCTGATTAACAAGCTGTAGGAGCCCTAATGTTCAGATGAAAGGGGTTAGGGGAGCCACGCTGGAGCACCACCACCTTCAGAACCGCCAGCCTCCGCCCACAGCCACTCCTAGAAGTAACTTGCAGCTCTAGTCTTCTGGGCGGTGCTGGGGTGCCCTCCTTCCTGCCAGCTGGTCCGGGGAGCTGGGCAAATGGACAGAAAGCCCCAGGGAGGACACCACAAGGGGCACTTAGAAACAGATGCCATCTCCTGGCTAGGGGCAAAAGGCAAGGGTGAAGGGACCTGAGGACCTGAGGCTTTGATGGTAACTTTAAGCCAGGGTGCAGTCCTGGAGGGAGGAACACTTTAGGCCCTGTCAGCAGATCTGGATTATAAATCAGTCCCGACAACAGCTTTTGTTCTGGTTTAAAACTTGGCATCTGAAAAGTGGAGACCAGAAGAGTAGTAGAGATAATTGAAGAAAAGCAGCCCAGTTTGGTTTCAGTAACAATTGGGCCTTTGCTAGTACACATAAAGGCCCCTTCTCCCTTGCTGGCCAAAGCCACATTTCCCAACTCCTTTCTACTAGGAAAAAAAAAAAGCTGTGGCCTTGAAGATGCTACAGATATCAATTATCTTGGGGTGGGCAGGGAAGGTCCTGGCTTCAGCTGACAGGGAAGAGAGAAGATGGGCTGACCCCTGTGTCTGTTTAAGTGGGGATAAACTGATATGCAAATGCTTTTTTTTTTTTTTTTTTTGGGAGACAGGGTCTTCCTGTTACCCTGGCTAGGATGCAGTACCATCATCATAGCTCACTCTGGGCACAAGAGCTTCTCCTGCCTCACCTTCCCAAGTGGATGGGACTACAGGGTACCTGCCACTATGTCCAGCGAATTCTTTGATTTTTGGTAGAGACAGGCTGACCTCAAGAAATCCTACTGCAGCCTCCCTAAGTGCTAGGATTACAGGTGTGAGCCACTTTGTCCAGCCAGTGGGCCTCACATTTGTTCTGTGTTTTAGACTTTGTAACCTGCCTTCACATACATTTTCTCACTACCCTCATGACCACCCTTTTTCTCCTTTTATAGATGAGTCTCAGAAAGTTTACACAACTGGCCCCAAGTCTCCCACATAATAAGAAAGGTCAGGATTTTAAATCAGGTCTTGGGACTCCCAATTCTTTTTTTCCTTGAAGTCACTATATATCCTGACAGTGCTCCATTTCCTACTGTCTTTCCTCACCTTCAAGGCTTGGCCCCAGCCTCTAAGTGTGAGGGTTACCAGGCAGAGACCTGAGCTCCCTGGCTCTACCTCCAGTGTGGCCCCAGTGGAAAGTTTCAAAGGGTGGTTTGGTTTCACTGGAAGGCACAGTCTTTCTTATGTATGTCAGTGACAAACATCTGGGTTCCTGGAGGGCCAGGGATGTAGAACCCCCCCCCGCCCCCCCCAGCTGACAGACTGCATGAAGCCCTCCCTCCCAAATGCTCCTTAGAGATCAGGCTCCAGCTCCCCTCCCTTTTCCACCTTGGTGCATTTCCTGCTCTATTCTGTTCATTCTCAGTGCTGGCCTTTTCTGTGGGTGGATGGGCAGAGGATAGTTTCCTGCATGACTACTTGCTCACAATTCATACTTTTAAAAGCACGACTGACACAAAAATGAGATTCTTGGGTCTTCAATTAAGGGAAAAACTTACTAATACAGGTATGAGGGGTGGGCCTTGGGAGAAAAAGGCTTATGTACCTGGCTATTCTCTCTGGGGTGTGCTTGACATACATAGCCTATGCGAGGTGTCCACCCTGAGGCCTTGACAGACCCTCCATTCGTTCAAGTGCTTGTGGCCAAGTCAACAAAAGAGAGAAGTGCTAGATGCCTCCCAACACTCTTCACTGGCAGCTTAGGCTGGCCTCAGAGTGGCCCAGGAGTCTTACTAGAGAAGCAAGCTGCCCCCCCCACCCCCGCCACCACTATGCCACCTTTAATTTGAGCTACTCACCTGCCAGCTTTTTGGAAGCAGGTTTCTGGCAGGAGGAAGGCCCAGGGGGTCACTGGGGTCTAACGTCAACCAAGCAGCTCCTACTGGTTGATCTCCAAGGCAGCAAGAGCTGCTTTCAACCCGAAGATGGGGCATTGAGAAGGCTTGGGTCAGCTATCCTTAAGGGTCTTTCCATGGGGCTGGGGACTGAGGTGACTGGGGACATAGGAAAAAGACTCTCCCTCTCAACTTCCTCCAAAAGGAAAGTTATCAAAGGTGTCCACCTGGGAAGTCTTTCCCTTCCCAGCCCCTCCCTGCCACCATTGCCAAAAGGAAGCAGGAAAACATCCGTCATCACAGCCCCGGATGCTGCTTTTCCAGTGGCTCCTATCAGGATATCCCCAGCCTTTTCCCAGGGGCTAAGGGTCTGGGAAGGTCAAAGACCTGAAGGACAAGTGGTAAAACTGCCAGCACCACTGTGGAATTCTTGGCCCTGAGGAAGCTGAATCTAACTGATCGCAGACTAGTTTTAAAAGATCTGGTCAGCTCCCAGCTAGTCCCCGAGAGGGCCCATTACATGTCCCAGGGGATAGTATACGCCCTTGGGTGACCTCACAGTGCACACCTCTGCTCAGGTTACAGCCAGGTCTCCGGAGGGACCAAGTTGTCACTGACACCTCTTCTCCCCTTGGTGTCTATTTCTCTCATGGGAAGAGTATGTTGGGGAACAGGAGAGGGGGAAACAGTGTACATAGCCAGGACTGGGGCAGGAGGGCTCCAGATGTCTATACTCAGTCCCTTTCTCAGAGCCAGGTAGGGGCAACTTTGAGAACAGGAAACTCCCTAGTTCAGCAGTTCAGCCTCTAGGGCTTTCCCTATTTCCCTCTTTGCCCTTGGCAGTAAGAACAAAGAAGGGAAATTTCAAAGGTGATTTCCAGGTTTCCAGAGCAAACTGAATAGCTGAGGATTAACTATCGGGATGTGCAGTGCCAGAAGCAGGGGCGCCCTGAAGGAAGATAAAGAAGGCTGGCTCACTAGGTGCCCTGCTATTTATCAGAGGATCTGAGGCTAAGCGGCTACTGCTGGGCTTCAGTGGTGCCCTGGCCAAGGGGACAGGTGACATAGCCAGGAAAAGAAACTGGAACTCTCAGTCAAGCTGCTTGGGCATCCAAGTCACCCTGGCCTAGGGTTTCCTCCACCTCTCACTTGGCAAAGGCTGCAAGGCAGAAAGATGCCCTGTGTGGTACCCAGAACTGTGCCATGTGGGTTGCCTGTGCCCTCTGAATAATAGAAGTCCTCTACTTTTTTTTTTTTTGAGACAGAGCCTCAAGCTGTCCCCCTGGGTAGAGTGCTGTGGTATCACAGCTCACAGCAACCTCCAACTCCTGGGCTCAGGTGAGTACCTGCCTCCGCCTCCCAAGTATCTGGGACCACAGGCACCCGCTACAACGCCTGGCTATTTTGGGGTTGCAGCCATCATTGTTGTTTGGCAGGCCGGGGCTGGATTCAAACCCGCCACCTTAGGTGTATGTAGCTGGCACCTTAGCCACTTGAGCCACAGGTGCCGCGCCGAAGTCCTCTACTCTTAGCATCTGGGGACCCAGTACAGGAGACAACTGTGTCAGAAGTGGGCCTAGGAAGTAATGAGCTCTACATTGGGTCTGCACATTGAGCTACTTGGCCTGAAAGTTCTCTATTTTGGGGGAGTCTCTTTCCTAATAAGTAGATAAGACACCCAGAGTTGAGGAGTGCCTACAGGCCAATTTGGCAGGAAGAATCCTCTGCCACTTCCTGGATCTTTTTTGCCCCTTGTAAAACCCCATTCCAACCCAGAAATAGTCAGGAGGAGCCAGAGACTAGACCTGGATTCTCAGGGTTGAAAGAGCAGGCAAAGTTCATATCTGGGGGTCTCCTGGGAGTACAAAAGGCCCACTCACTTCTCAAGGGATTCAGGTCAAAGATACTCAGTACCCCATTAGTAATCAGGTCTCATGAACTGATCTGGGGCAATTCTGAGAGGAAGCAAGAGCAGTATCCAGAACTGTTTTTTGTACCCGCCCTCATTTCTGAGTCTGGGGAGTTGATTTCAGAGCTTAGCAATAAATTGAATTAAGGGTAATTACAGCCCTGATCCACCATCGCACTCAGTGTATTCTCCCCAGCAGGGACGGGGAGGGGAGGGAGTGGTCTCAGACTGGGTCCAAACAAATGTTCCCCATCCTTGGATTTCTGACAGTTCTCAGGCCACAGGGATGAGGGGAACACCACAGGGATGACTGCTCCTCCCTAGAGATTTGCAAACAGCCCTCCAGTCCTCAGTTGTATGGGGCAGAGCACAGGCTGCAGTCATGTAACTCTATCAGAGGTGAGAACTCAGCAGGATATAAGCAGAGGCATCAGGAGACTAGACGCTGGGCACCAGCCCTCAGGACAAGGATTGAAGGAAGTCTTCTAAACCACTGATGCTGAAATAAGACTTTAATGTGCACAAAGAAACCTCACATTAGTGACAGAGAGAGAGAGAAGAAAGAGGGTGGGGAGGACTGAGGCCTATGAGGGCCCAGGGAAACCAGAGCTATGAAGACAAAAGCCTTAGGGAAGAGGAGATGGCTGGGAGAGGAGACAGCTGAGGGTGGACATAGCAGGGAGAGGTAAACCCTGTCAGAGTAGGGGCAGGGGCAATGGCGGAGGCAGGGTCTTGCTTTACCAGGCTGGTCAGCATCTAGACCCCCGCTGGTCTTGATTCTTTGCTTCTTCCAGTTCCCTGAGCCCTGGTCACTTTCTGCTGAAGCCAAGAGCCCTGGGCTACCCCAACTCAGCTCCTTTAGATGTCTTTCCAGGGGCTGAAGTACTGGGCCTGTGGCAAGGAGAAAAACAGGCTGTGATAGCCTAGGCTCTAGGACTGTCCAATGCCCTGAAACTCCCTGGATTTGCAGAGTCCACTCAACACCCATCACAGGTCTCCCTCATGCCAGATGCTGAATAAGCAAGACTCCTGGGGCTCATAGTCCAGGCAAGGACACAGCAAGCAGGTCAACAGGCCACTTGACTATAGGAATGGTCTGCCAGGGCTCCTCTACTCACTGCCTACAGGCACAGGGAGTGTAAAAGGAAGGTGGCAGCTACTCCCCCAAACTCAAGCCACGAATCACTTTTCCTTCTTTCTAAGACAAACATACTGCTTCCCACCAGAGACTAGTGTGATCTAGTTCTTTGGGGATTGAGGGTGAGGTTTGCTCTTCAGAGTTTTCTCAGAGACTTGCGAAATCTGAGACCCAAGCCACAGCCTGTGGCCAATGTGTCAGCCCCAAGTCAGAGGTTACAAGGGAAGGAAGAGAGGAGTCAGAGGAGAAGCAAGTTGACAGCTGAGGAACACTGGGGCTGGAGACGTGGCCCTGCTCATCTCCATCAAGGGCTGGGGGCTCAAGAAGGAAAGAGTCTCCAAGCTATCCTAGTGGGTTCTACTTGTTGAAGAGACTGAGAGAAAGGGAGGGTGCCAAAGCAGGTTGGTACTGTGGGAAGGTCAGCAGGCCTAGGAGTCAAGCTGGTTCTGGGCCATGATTCTGACATCCACACAAGCTGCCTTCATGATGGGACAACAATTTCTAACCTTCTAGGTTATTTTGCTTATCTAGTTAATTTGCTTATCTGTAAAATTGGATCCTAACAACTGGCCTCATGGGGGGTTTTCTAAGGGAATTCACATAGAACCAACTCTTCATTCAATGTTGGCTATGAATATCATCCACTGGAGTAGAGAGGAGCAGGACAGCATTTCTCCTAATAGAGAGGGAGCCATCCTCAGGCCTGCAGGACAAGTGGGCAGAGAGTGGACAGCTGGTGCCTCTGGTGCTCCTTCCTGGCACTACTCATGATAAACAGCCTCTCTGGGACTGTTTTTCCTTGCATATGCTCAGGAGTAGGCTTCTCTGTGTTTCCCAGCCCCCAGCCCCAAGCCCCACTCTGACCATTGGCTTTTTGAAGGTCCCTTAGGCACTTGCCCTCACATCACCCTCTCAAACCATGTCCTGGCTGGGCTCAGCAGCTGCTGTGGGGGTGGACAGGCTGCTGGCATTGGCCAGCCCTCCTCTCCAAGGTCTGGGGGCTTCAGGGATACCACCTGGGGCTGGTAGTGGGCCAGCAGCTCCTGCCAACGGATGTAGGTCTGGGCAGCCAAGTCTTTGAGTCTGGTGCGGTGCATGGCCTGGGGGCTCTCCCGGATGTGGGTGCTGATGTGGTGGTCCAACTGCATGCACAGCAGCTGCAGCTCACCCTATAGAAGGACAGGGCAAGACTATGAGGGAGGGTGCGGCATGCTGGGCACATCCAAACGGGGTCAGAAGAAAACAAAGTCAGAGAAAGGGAGGGGTTCATTTGAGAGACTACTCAGAAGCTGGACAAGAAAAGGAAGAAAAGTCCAGAGCAACAGCAGGGGCATGGGTCAGTGTCCCTGGGGAACAGCTCATGGGACTCAGTGGGGAGGCAGAGGCCATGGCTTTCTAGACTGGCCTCTTTCTCAGCCTCCTCCTCTTTGCAGCTCCTGATAGCGGGCTGGGCTCCAGCCTGGCTGCTTGGTGGAGAAAACCAAGCCCCTCCATCCCCACCCCAGCCTCTTGGAAGACTCACCCACTGGTCTGAAGTAATGTCCTGGCAGCTGACCACCACCCCAGCCAGTGTCAGAAGGCTGTGGCACATGTAGCAGGCCTGGTGAGAGAGCACAGCAAGGGCAGAGAGCCACTTCCTTAACCCCACCCTAAGCAGCAGTATCTACTCCTTCACCTGCAGACTCCTTGCTTCAGTCCAGTGGCCCCCAGGGTGAGGATTCAGCCCATCACTCAACTTCCAATTTCAGGGATGTCCAGGAGAGGAAGGCTCTAGGGCCCACTCTCTCAGAGCTGGACATGCCCCCAGGCTCTGTTAGATTTCCCTCTGATGTACTGTTTTCCCTTCCTTCAGAAAAAGAGGAAATCTTTGCCATCCAGAAACCCACATTATCCTTCAGCCTTGTCCTGGGGCTCTCTGGTAGAGAAAGCCCTCTGGGGAGAGAGGCTGTGCCCTCTGATGCTCTGGGCAATCTCTGTTCCCTAAGGTGCCCACACCCAGGTCCACTGCCACCAAAGCAATGCTATCCCCTCACAGCAACTCTGCAAATGGTAAAGGGAGCCCCTCTGGGGGGACATGCCATGGGTGCACAGTTCCTGTATTCTGCTTGTCCCTCAGCAGAGTGTCACCTGCATAAACACAGATGCAGCCTGTCAGAACAGTCACACCTCCTGACAGGAAGCAGGTGAGGAGTAGGGAGCAATGGGAAATGTTTTGGGCTGAGCGCTTGTACACCTTACCCACCAACTCCACCCTCATTCTTGCCCACTGGGCACTCTCAGAGGTAAACAAAACATAGGCCAATTCCATCTGACATGATTTGACCCAGGATACCCTGGACACTGCTTCACCCATTCATTTATGAGACATTTGCCAGCTATTCAGAGAAAATGAGAATGGGAGCATCCCAAGGACAGATGGGTCTCCTCAGGGGAAGACAGCCCACCCCTGGCACCATAACTGCTACCTGTGGGTGACCCTTCCCCTATTCAGAGCTCCTGCTGTCTGCTTTGGACTATTTACATCTAGGATCAAGAGGGAGGCAGTCTGAGGATAAGAAAGGGTGGGAGAGGCAGGCTCTAAAGATGGCACTGGTGAGAATAGCACTGGAGCTCAGAACTAGCCGAAGGCCTCTGTGCCCCAGCTTCCCTGCCTTATCATCTCACCCTCTCAAGAGTGCCACATAGGCCCAAGAAACAGTAGCAACCTCTTTGCACAGGCCTAGGTCCTTGCATAGGACAGAAGCCAGAACCATTTCTGAGGGCATCACACTTAGCACGTAGCAAATGACTTCTTGAACCCAAATACTACAGTGCAAAACCTCGAGGACAGAGTCTACCTGGGACCCCCACCAGCAGCATCTTCCCTGGATAGAACCCAGACTGCTCTTTAGCACAACAGCAAAGGGCTGACCAGACCAGGTAGCCTTGCACAGTAGGCACAGAGAAGACACCATGGGGGAGCCAGGTGCCTGCTGGGTGTGCCCTCAAAAGGGCAGCCCTGGGGTGGGAAGACCCAGCCTTTCTGTAGCCCAACTCCACCAGTTGGGGCCCTGCAGTTGCCCATGTGCTAAAGGCTTGAGTGACTTAGCTGGGCTAGCTTGCTGGTGAGCCACTGCTTGCCCCATGCATGGTGCTTGGTAGCTCCTTGGGCTCCTATTCCCTCCAGCCTGGCCTTGCCCGATGGAGGGTCCACAGCTTTTGGGACTCCCTCTAACCTTTGTAGTCCTGGCACCCATTCATTGACCCCTTCCTATAAAGCAGGCTCAGACACTGTGCCTTGACTAAGATACAACAGCACACCCTCAGACATTAGAGGGAGAAAGCAATCATTTGGTGGTCAACAAATAAAGAACCTCAGTTTCCCCATTATCAAAAGGAGAAAGAGTTTTTCTAGGGTTATTATTTTTTGTGTGTGTAGGGGGAGAGATAAAACTTAAGAGGCTTTAGGAAAAAAGTGACTAAGCTAAAGCGGGCTTCAAAAGAACAGCAGAACTGAGGCAAAGATGGCTCTGTGGGGGTGGAGGCAGATTACAACACCAGACAGATCCTGATGCAAGAAACAGGCAGGGAACAATGGTGGGCTGGAGCAGGGTGACCTGGGAACAGGGCTGGCAGTAGACAGCTGGTGGGGAATAGCCCCGGGGCACCTGGGGAAAGTGGGTGATAGAATGTGGCCATATCTCTTATTAGTGGGACAGAATATACCAGAGTAAAAAACGGGGTTCTCTCTAGAAGAAATTTCAGGATGTCCTTCACTTTTTTCTTTTTACGATTATTTTTCTACAATGTATGTGCTTTATTTATTTATTTATTTTTTAAAGACAGAGCATGGCGTCACACAGCTCACAGTAACCTCCAGCTCTTGGGCTTAGCTGATTCTCTTGCCTCAGCCAACTGAGTAGCTGGGACTACAGGCGCCCACCACAATGCCTGGCTATTTTTTTTGTGGTAGTTTGGATGGGGCCAGGTTTGAACCTGCCACTCTTTGGTATATGGGGCTGGTGCCCTACTCACTGAGCCACAAGCGCCACCCTATTTATTTTTTTCGGAGACAGAGTTTCACTTCGTTGCCCTCAGTAGAGTGCCATGGCATTACAGTTCACAGCAACCTCAAACTCTTGGGCTTAA